ACCACACTCCCTGTGGGATCGACCCTTGCTCATCACTACTACTTGTTGGTAGGGGTAAGTCGAGGAAAATTTTATAAATATAAATTTGCCGCGTTGCGACGCGCGGTCACATGTGCACATGCACAAATATATATGAAATATTATAAGTTACAAGTATGAATATGATTAAATTATTATCAGATAATACATATCGTAATTTCAAAATTTGACCATTACTATAAATTGTGTGTGGTGATCTAACTGTTAGAAGTCGGACTCGTCATGTATTTGTACTAAAGATACATATTTATGTTATAAAATATTATATTTTTGTTATATTATTTAATATAGTATGACATTTTAATTTAAAATGTATATTTATCGCAAAAATAATCCCCCTATATCCCCCTCCCCTATATATTAATACAGAACGCGCTGAGCCTACGTGGCTGCTTCTAGTGCTTCGGAATCCTATGTGGCAAAATTACATGTTTCGTTATTAGGCTTGGGTAAATTTTAATTTAATTCCAAACCAAAAATAATTAGGTTCAGATTACCATAAATATGTTGATTATTTATGGTCATCTTACATGTATTAATTGTATTTTAATATCATTCCTTATTATAACTATTGAATTTTATATATATTTTAAAAGTTAATAACTTTTGTATTTTTTATCAGTTTTACATATGTAATATATCAAATTAATCTTCGTTTGATGAGTTTCAATTGAACATCCATATTGTTTAATCTTCTTTTGATGAGTTTCGATTGAACATCCATATTGTATGTATAAAAAAAATAATTTATATTTATCTTTATAACAATAATAAAATTACTTTTAATATTAATTTAGAAAAATGAAATTATTTATCAACTAATATATTTATATTTCAAGTATTTATATGATATAAGTTATAAAAACTAATAATATAACATATGTAAGTCATAAGTAACACATATCATTCTAAAATATATAGTAATATATTTTTTTGTAAAAAAAGTAAACTAAATTTAATATAGTTTTTTCATTAATTTTAAAATTTAAGAATAATTTTTTAATAAGCACCCGTGTAATACACAGGTGTTGTATTAGTAACCGACTAATTGTACACTTGCTCAATTTCATTCACCAACCTTTGTTCTTTTACGATATATATATATATATTTTTTTTTAAACCAATGTTGGTCCAATCTCCATTTACTGTGTACTAAATAAGTCTGCCCAAATTTGGACCGAAATACCACATGGAACCTGAAAGTTAGGGATTTCACGTTGACTGCCCGTCTAGACTGAGAGAGTCAACCCACCTTGGAGGAAATTAAAGAATAAAAAAATTTGGCAAATTATAAAAATACTTGTCCTTTTTATTTTGGTATTTTTTTTTTTTTAGGATTGTGTTTGTTATGTTTTTGTGTGATTTTCTTGTGTTTTATTTGCTTGAGTCGAGTCTGATTAAGTTCGGTTTGTGTGTCCCGGTCCATTTTTGTTCATTTTTAGTAGTTCTCCGTTTTTGAGTCGTATTCGTATATTTTCTATCTCCCTTGTACGTTTTGGTGTTTTTGTAGGCTCGGAAGGAGGAATTATTCATTTCGTGATGTGGCGTCCAGAGTATTTATTCATGGAAATTGTTCGATGAATTCGGTGTGTTTTCCATGACAAGAAGGAAATGAGTTGATTAACCTACATATTATTATCAATAACAACATTTTTCTTCCTTTTTT